GGAAAAGAAATTCCGTGGACATTCCAAACGGCTGTACTGCACTGCCGGCTTCAGATGATGGCCTCTCAGGTTGTTGTTGTTACTGAGCTCCAGCAGATGACGGCAGGTATGATTGAAGACTGGCAGAATCTGATAAGCCAAAATCAAATCTCCCCGTAGTCTTCGATATTGACCACTAAATATCCCGAGCAATCTCAGTCTGTCTTCGTAGCGTAATTGGCCTAAACCTTTCACGTTCTTCGTTGCGCGTCGTTGAGGTTTCTCTAAATCGGAGAGGTCTTTCCTCAGCCACGGCTGCCAGACTTGTACTGCATCCTCCACGTGTGGTCGTATGTATGCACCTAGAAGTTGGTGAAAAACGGATGGATCGAAGCGCCCAAATGTGCGCCTGAGAAGGCCCAAATTTCGAATGCTCGCGTTCGATGCTTTCTTTGCCTGGGCTGAACAACCAAGGTTGGACTGAATCAAGACTCCTAAATCCTCTTCCTCAGCAGTTGTGTGAAGCACATGGTCACCCAGTTTATAGAAAAATGCTGATTGGTGACGTGAGTGTAATACACTGCATTTTTCTGTGTTGTGTGGGAGTTGGTTCTGAACTGAAGTATTGCGGAGTCGTCTGGTGTATTGATCGCTCTCCAGACCTTGATGTCGTCGGTATAGAGTAGGCAGTTGGAAAGAATGAGGGCCGCCATGTCGTCAATATACATCAAAAACAATCGTGGCCCCAGTGCCGATCCTTGTGGTACACCACATTCGACTTGGATGGGGTGGGACAGGGACCCACGCACTATTACCTCTAAGCTCCGGTGGAGAAGAAAGCTTGTGATCCATCCTAGGATCGGATCACCAATGCCGAAGCTCTGAAGTTTGCAGATCAGGATTCCATGGTCTAGTCGATCGAAGGCCTTTGAGAAACCTAGGTAGACCACGTCCACTCTTGCACCGCTGTCAATTAATTTGGTCCAACTCCATCTTGCTAGCAGCAGATTTGTGGTGCACGATCGATTCCGTCATGCTGGAGGCGAGCGCAGTCGTCCTGGTTCTCAATGATCCTCCAGATTTTCAAATCATCTGCAAACAGGGCACATGGTGACTGGATCTGCTGCGGAGGATCGTTGATATGAATAAGAAATAATACTGGCCCAAGTCCAGTTCCTTGAGGCACACCACTAGTCGATGGGAACCAGTCTTTCAAGTAGTCATTGACCTGTACTCCAAACTTTCGTTCCACAATAAACTCGTGTAAACACTGAAGTAACGTGCCACCGATTCCGTATGTCCTCAGTTTACCAAGGAGTACCTCGTGGTTCACTCTGTCAAACGCCTTACTAAAGTCGATGTACACCACGTCAACAACCTTCTGTTCGTTGAGAGCTCGTAGCCACTGGTGGTTTGCGTACATCAAGTTGGTGATGCAGGATCGCCCTTTCGTAAAGCCTTGTTGCGCTAGCGTCAATACGTCTATCGATTTGAAGAAAGATAGCAGACACATTTTTACAACCTTCTCGAGCACTTTGGATAATACCGAAGTCAAACAGATCGGTCTATATTTCTCTATTTTACTCGGATCACCACCCTTGGGAAGCGATCTCACTATCGAGCATTTCCAGTCGTTCGGGACAGATCCTGCGGTGCCTTGAGGACAATACCCGCACATTTATCTCGACTTGGTCTTGTGCTCTTTCCCAGGCACTTTCGGGTAGTTGGGTTGTGCGGCTGGCATTTAGTTAACAAGCTCGGGCATCAACTATACACCTAGTTCATCGCTGCCTACTTACGTGCACGGACAAACAATCGCCCCTTTCAACGATGACTAACATCGGTCGCCCGCATTTGATTGGCACAGTTGCCATGTGTAATAACGAAGGCGACACCCTTCACCAATGGAGAAATCAGTACAATGGAACGGGAAAATAAGCGCGGATATCAGAAGGCAATTGGAATCGGACACAGCGAACTGTATTTCATGGGCTACAAAAAGGCGAGGACGGATGAAGTAAGACAGGAAGTACACGGTATTTGAAGCCATAGCGAGGTTGTCGTAACCAGAATGGTTGGCGGCATCCGGTTTCGGATGTGCCTGTCACTGTGGCCAGCAACAGGGTGCCGGCGCCTACGGAGGGACCATGTGTGGCTTGTGCTGCACCACACACAGCTCCAACCACACATCCCATATCCAGTGTAAACCCGAAGGAATAAGACTGAGAGGCATGTGGATGGGAGCCAAGTTTCATCAACGGATCCGGCCCATACCCCTTCACAGGCAAACACAAGCACGCTGTATTTTGGAATCAAGTGCACACAAGGCGGAGGCTGGACCGTAGTCCGCTCCACACTGAGTGCATGGAACCGCTCTTCGAGCCTACCGCGGCGACAAGGACCGTGCACCCCGTCCCCTAGAGCAACGACCAACTGTCTCCTGGAGCCAGTATGAACGAGGTAGTGGGTAATAGCCAGGTAGGCACCTTGTCAACATGCACATCAAGCGCAGACACACTGGGGATATCAAGCAACTGACATTCACTTTAAACGACAAGCTGAAATAAAATAAATCCAATAATGCATACAGATACGGTCGCATAACTCTTCCCTAAATTACCATATGAAGTAAGTTGGTTAGCAACGAATCCGCAATAAGTAAGAAATGTCCACCAGTTAATTCAAAATGCTACAAACGCAACAAAATTACCGAAGATAAGCGCAATTAGCGTAAGCAATGTGGCCAGTTAATAGAACATTATTCAGGTAGGCAGAACAAACCATATAAAGTGGAATGAAATGTATCCAGCTTAAAAAGGCCTAGTTTTATTGTAACTTGGTCTAGCAAAACTGCGGTGTCGAAGCAGCAAAATGCAACATCAGCCTCAGCATGGGGCATCGTAACCAGAATACATCCCTATTATATACCACACTTTATGCAATTAACGCCTGTGAAACTTACCACATAGCTTTCTACTCCTATATTTGTCAGTAGTGTAAACTCAATCTGATATTATTGTTACACACATCTGCTCTTTTCTTCGACAAATAACACACAAAATCGCTTGTGGCGATAGTGATGCCCTACCGTGAGCATGTCATGACTAACAAACGAATGGTTTGTGAGCGAAAGGATGGAAGCTAAGTCAAAACACCTCGCTAAGAGGTCACCAGTTTAAGTTACTCACACAGTACAGCCGCCTGGAATGTCGGCGAAACTATTTCTCCCTGCGAGTGCCACAGCCCTTGAACGCCCTCCCGGAACATATAATTAATGCACCCACACTAACCCTTTACTAAAAACGCCTTAACGATACCCTGTCACATTTACACTACGTGCTATAGTCCATAGCCACCAGATGCTGGCACTAATGCGCAACTGACAGGGGATAGTGCCATAATCCTACTCGAGAATTAGTCACTCCAAACGCTTTGCACGAAATTTGATAAACGCAACTACTAAAGAAACTGGATTTCTGTATCCTGTCGACCAAAGATAGTTACACACGAGTAAGCGTTGTCCTTGCTATATTTTTTATTTTTCTAGCCTATGATGCGAACAATAACCAATCCCCTATTGCATGGTGTGCGCACATTCTCATTTCAAACACGCTTTAAACGACAAAGCAGTTACATCTGTAAGCGCCCGAACTGTCAACTCCGTTATCCCCTTATCGATGCTTTCTCACGCTAAACACCCTACAGGACATGTCAAGCACCTGCTTTTTACCCGTTATAAATCATTGTTCATTGTTCATTGATATACGAATCAGTAAATAGTTCGCCAAGTTACACTCATCTGTGCATCAGCTGCTTTATTATTGTGTGAAATTGCGAATAATGTCTAGTCAACACCATTTTTTCAATCCACTGTTTAGTTTTCTTTGGTTGTTATTTTATTTTTCCTTAACTGATCTAAATTGTAATTCTTCTCATTCACCTGAGATCAGTGTTAGCAGGTATGCACTTACCTTTATATACCACTACGGGTGGACAAGGCATCTTTGAGAATAATGTTCCCCAATTTATTTCTTTAACACCACATCCGTTTGGTTTTACTTGTGTCACTCATTCTCACTTTCAAATGAATGTCAGCTCCATACATAGCACCCAATATATTCGATACCCTGACTGGTAAACTAACTCGTATTTAGTGGTCGGCCATTTGATATTATGGGAAGATTATGCAATTTCAGCTGTTGAACATGCACGCTTAAGGGTTCTGCTACATTTCTGTTCGGAATAACACATTAAACGCACTAAGAAACTTTACGTCGCATAAATATAATCAATCCGACCATAATGCTGCACCTACTTATCCTTCCCAGCCTAATGACTGATGGATTGGCATCAGGTAGTCTGCCAACGTATTATCTGACAAAGTGCACACGTAACAGTTGTATAAATTAACCGTTATCGAAAGGTGAAGCTAAGGCGAGGAGTAGAACTGATCATGTTATGACCAAGAGTGAATCAGTTTAACTTCCTTACGTATACCCTCAGTAAAGAAAATATGTTAACTGGAAGTGCGACACGAAAAACATCAACCTTATGCCAACCCGTAGTATATAGTTAAAAAGTAGAAATCCTTTTGATTACATTTACTCATACACGGAATAACTATATTAAATCATAAACAAGCTTTGTGGAGTTTGTCGTACAACCTTTGATCTGAATATGCCATGCTGACTAGCGCTCAAGTTACAAGGTTTCACAAGAATTACATTGGAAAATATCGTACCCGTGCCTTGTAAGTGTGCGGTAAAACGACATCCGTATCTTTCGATAAATTTATTGAAGATATCGTATACCGATTTTAGTAAATTTGTGTAGTATTTATAACGTGCAGCATGAACAATAAAGCAGGTTTCTGCTAGTTATGGTAATATTATTTTAGATGATACTTGTATGTATAACAAAATTTGATCGCCTTAAGCAATGAGCGGCTTATACAGAATCGGTTCCATATAATAAGGAAATTTCCCTGTATTGTAGAGGACAAAAAACGTTATATGAAATACTTTTTATTTATATATGATGAGAGTACAGTCAAATATTTTCGAGTAAACTTCTCAGTGTCGCACGAGTTTTGCAAGTTACCGGCTTCAGGAAAATTCAGCTATAGAAACAATGGTAAAAAGAGTAGCAATTTTCCTTATTATATAAATATACCTATATCTTAAGTGTTTGAAGAAAAAGAACAATTTGAGCAAATTATTGTGCAATCAGATTTGAACGCAGTTTAACTCTAATACTTAGGTCTTAATATTTGTAGTCTCAGCGCTAGAAAAAATTGTATAATTTTTGCTTCTAATTTATAGTAATCCGAACAAAATCCATGATTGTTCAAAGGTAGAGAAAATGACGCAGATGAGAAAGTCTGTCGTGTTTTATGCGTCGTTGCTCTTTCTGTGGTTGCCTATAGTTTGTGCCAGTGAGAACTCGAGGTATCATGTTGCGTCATTAAAGAGAAAAGTTCGTTTGTACCATCCGATAATTTTGCCTAAATTCCAATGTTGCCCTATCATTTCTTTATTTTGTTAAATTACATGTAACAAAAGCAAAATAACTCACTCGGTTGCGTGTCAATGTAACCATTGTATAGGCAACTAGAGTGCGCCCAGTTAAGATTGTCCACCAAAAGACTGTGATAATTAAGATAGAATGGCTCGTCAACTGCGTGAAATGGTTCCATTGCTGCAAGCCGGTATAACAAGATATTTTGTCCATGTGCTTCGGAACTGTTCCCCTTTTCCAGTGAACACGATTTATATAACATTGGGAAGTCATCACCCATCCTTTTCATTACCTAATTGGAAAGAACATGAATGAGTACAGAAGACATTATTCATGACGAAGAGCAAAACATCAAGTGGAAATGCAACCGTTTAATCAATGAACTTGTTTAAAACTTATGTGCGCCGAGTTGTGTTGATAAGCTACGCAGTAAATATTCTTATAAATATGTTTCAGGATCTCTCAGGTATTAAATAACTAATGTGCTAAATGAACAGATATCTAGTTTTACTGGAAATAGCTGAATGGCATCAAGCCCAAATAGGTGAAAGCGGGTAGAAATTCCAGTTGTTGGAGCTATTGGTTATTGTTCAACAATAGTCTAGCCACAATTTAAACAAGCAAAATTATGAACCAGATTATCTACGGCACAAATGCATGTATATTAATTGAAATAAAATTTATTTAAAAACGTTTTTCTGTTAAACTTAATAATTGGAGGATAAAATTATTTTCCTCTTACGAAAAAAGGTTTAATTTAACTATGGTAGGTCTGAATGTAGGCGCTATTTGTGAGAGGTAAGGACGATTTTCTTACTTCTTTACATAGATCAACAGACGGAGGTGCAGAAATGAATGCGGCTAAAACATGACAGAGTAAAAAACGTTTGCTCAGTGCGCATAAATACATTTGATGATCATTAACGTTAATTTCATTGTTATACAAACAGCCTCGCTGTTACAAATTGTTAGAGTTTCGGAATTGGGCTAAACGCATAATTTTCGAAGCTAAGAGGAAATATCAAACTTTCTTTACACACGTAGGCGCGTTGCTATTTTCTGTGCGCTGTTGTAAAATCCCACACCGCGGCTCTCACAAAATTTGCTTTTTTCCATTGGACCTACTAGTTTGCCAAATGTCGAGTGTATGTATTATTTTATTTGCTGCATCCAAACGAATTGATGTATTTGGATCTAATTGGGATCTATGCGGCACACAAGCAAAACAAGAATTGTTCTAACGGGTTAAGCTATTTAGTGGATATGCTCTTTTGTGTCTACTATGTTCTTTACACTAGTTGATGCAGTAAAGTGATATAACAATTTAGATTAAACAGTTCTTTACAACGAAATCTCATTGCATATTCACCTACAATAGGAGACATACGAACCATCAGTTATGGTTTTTCGGCTAAGCCACATTTCAAGGCGAGTATGTCCGTTCACCGCCTTATGGTTAGATTTGCTTTAACGTTTTTATATTGTGTGTTTTATCGAGGAAAATGTATGTAAACAAATGAAGAATATAAAAGATTGTGTTAGTCCAACTAATAATTTGGACAGCCTCCGTTTTATAATTAGGATTCAATACTGAACATGTGAACAGCTTGATTGGTCCATAAATAATTTTTCCTAGCATTCAAATTACTTAAAAAATACTCCAGCAAGGAAAGTATGTAGTAACAAGAAGGTCGGAACTCACACAGCCGTTCCTTAGCTATCACAGAAAAGCAAATAGAAAAGAACAAAATAATCTCCAGTCTGTTGTTAATTACTTGTTGAACTAAGAGATAAACGTATGATGTATAATATTGTCTAATTAGTAGCTTTGATATGCTCATCTTTATTCTGTCTGCCTTGTTAGGCATCCAACAATATAAGTTGCAACTAAAATACTGCACTCGCGAAATATTGCCTTATCATATTTTTAGGTGTATGTATATCGAGGTGACATTTAATGTATTAGGGATTGCCAAAACTTTCCGAAAAATGGCACGTTAATTTTAACAGGATTTATGAGTTTCTACCCCCATGTCGGTGAGGTAGTGTCCATTTGATTCAGTGGAGTAAAGGTTCGTCTTCACTGTAACATATCGGTAGGGTCTTCGTTTGAGTTCGTTAGGCAAGACAGTTTATAGGTTCATACCTACTTTTACAGTGGGTGTGTTTCGTATTAGGCCTTCTTTAATATTCTGTTTTGGTGCCCGGCTAGTAGCAAGAATGCCAAAAATGTCCGCATGTTGTCTTATTTCAGAGCTATAATCGACTAATTTGCGAGCAAACATGCAACCAAAGATCAATTTTTAGAAGCAACAAAAGCTTAGAAATTAATTTTCTTCCGATTCCCATTAATATTCCAATCGGATTAAAATGCACATATTTTAATAAGTATTGCATTTGTGTAAAGCCTAAAGGTGCTTTCAATTTTAAAGAACACTGGAGAAAATCTTGATGGCAGCCATATATAACACTTTGAAAACAAGAAATATATGGTGCAACTGTTGCCATAAGGAAAATGCTCTCAAAAATTTAATCAGGCATTTATAAGAAAGTTGTTGCACGTATAGTACGGCTTTTAAGGTCCTTAAACACATCCGTTATCTGCATGTTGTTTTTACCCATATATTCCACGAAAAACAGACTCTCGATTGTTCACAGACGGTAACAAGTTTTGCAGTCACAGAACATTATGTGCTAAGCTGTGACAACGTGATTGAGAGAAAACCAAAAAGTAAAATCTTATCCAGGATATTTACATAAAATTGTGAGCTCGTACGACTAGGATTTATGCTGTTTTTCATCCGATGATTTACTTCGGCATTGAAATAAAGTCAAACACTCGAAAGTCCGATGATGTTATCTGGGTTGTGACCACGTGCACGGATATTCCAAATGACTACAAATTGAGGTCGTCAAACATTGATTTGCAAAGTAAAAGAAATGCAGTGTGCAGATATTTGTGTCATAAAATAGACTCAATTTTCGCCGTAACATCTCTCGGCGAACGGTGAAATCCTTGCTTAAGACGCACAAAGTCCTACTTCTTCAGATTATGTTTCTTGGATGCCTTAAATTTTATGCGAAATAAGTACCCAGTCAGACCGACCTCTATTAATAAATTTTGTTTTCGTTCGTAGTACTGCAGCGTTTATTGCCTTCCTGCAATTGTTTCCGATGTTTTTAGAAAGGAAGATAAAGTATTTTGTCAGTTTCATGCTGCTTCAGACAAAACTACATTTATTCTGTCATGCATGTTTCTGTGCTTAGTCCGCATTTTCTTGCGCTCCGAGTGGATTCTAATATGCAGTCCCTTCTGTTTTTGACGAAATGTAATATTAGGACACGTAGGTGCTTCTAATGAAAGATCAGATTATCAGAAGGTTGTGCTTAAAAGTTGGGGGTCGTCAGGTTTGCGGCATTCAGCCACTAGTCCTCAGATCGGCACAAGGGAGTAGGTAGGCTGTTGACCTGTTAGTTAGTCGGCGGGACAAAATAACCTCATCTAACTCATCGGGCGACAAAAGTCGCTCGGTCTTCAGAATTCAAACCCGGCAACACTATTATGCAGAAGGCCTTCATTGACGCAGTAGATAGTCTGCACTTTGGTTAAGATCATAGCAATGTATGTTTCCTTTCTCGTTTTCAACTTTCTTCCTGCTACACTTGGCAGCCTGCCTGCTGGCCAGTCCTCTATGATTTGTCCAAGTAAGCAAGGCAGTCGCACGGACTTTTAGAACTTGTACCTAATTGCTGCATATTTGAAACGGTCTGTCCTATGTAAAGCCAATAGGTAGATTGCATATATTTGCGCCAAGTTAAAAGTCTCATTCGTAAGACTCCTTACGGCATTACGACGTGATTGGGTCTCATTAGAAAAGAGGTGAAGCTAGATTAATGATGCGCTAGTCCATGCATGGTACATCACGTTACAACTTAAAATACGCCTTTTAAATTCGGTACTAAAGTCGAAGGAAGGATCGAGCTATAAAGAGATATACGGATTAACTTTGTGTGCCTTACAAATGTTGCAGGACTTTGACAATTAAACTGCAGAGATGTGACCTGCTACAAAGCTTGAATTACTCAGAACGCCAAGTTGAGACCGAAGTGTAATAAAAATTCTCACTCTTAAGTCTCTTCGACAGAGAACGTTGGTGACCTCTTAACAAAGGTTGGTAGACCTGCTACAGATGACGCGACTAAGACAGTCGATTTGGCACCTCTTCCAAAGTGGTGGATAGTGGTGACCATGGGCGTACTATGCCCTCGCAACCACGCCTTCGATCCTTGATTATAATAAATGAGACGACGTTAATTACATTAGAAGAATTTGATCTACCAACCGACTGATATGCGCAAAAAACTGGCTAGAATTGTCGTCATCCATTTTATGGTCAAGCAAATTGTTAGTGTGGTGTAGTATTTGCTCTTGGGTATATAAACGCTTTCATATTGAGAAGCTGGAATACTTCATAATCGGAATGAGACGACTACAAAGCCATAGACAAGAGGATGCAAAATTCTACCTTCTAACTAAATGCCTCTCGGAATTATAATCTATGTGCTAAAATGATTGGACAAGCGTACCGTGAAAGGAATTGGTGAAAATGTATTAGCCCACAACATGAGCGGATCGAAGCATGGCAAATTTACGAACAATCAGGCATTACTACTCTGTTGCGATTTTAAAATATGGCAACTCGCTGTTTTGATGGTTAGATTTTAGTAAAAGTACGCAATCGTCTCTTTAGCCACGCGCTTGATTCAGCTAACTATCATTTATTACTAGGGTAACTGAAATGCTAAGTTTTGAGAAAGAAATGCTGCTATTATTGGAGGTTCAGTCCAGTGACAGCAACCTCTGATGGAACAAAACGGTAAACACGAAAATATGCGCAACATAAGCTTAGTTTATTTACTATAATATTAATATGTCCCAGAATTGCAGGATCCTTATTGCGAACCATCAGCCAACTGGAAACTGCAACGTGTACGTCGATTATTCCATTCCACATAAAGCGGAATTTTCAGGGAGGTTTACCTTTGAGCGGCAAGGAAAACTTCCTATTGGAGAAAGATACCAGTGAGTTACAGGTAAGGCGGTTGTAGTGCCACATAGTTTTAGCATTGCTTGTTTTGCTTTAGCCCATCTACTCTGCACTTCCACATCGGAAGTTTATGACTTTCACGAAAGGTGCATATGTGGTAAAGTGTGAGAATCAACCCTTGTTATTTGGCGATACTTAGGCTGGATTAGTTTGCCAAGCAGATCGTTTTCCTGTGTGGGTACCGTGCCATCCCAGTGGAAGACGGCTCTAGTCATTCCTCGCTACAAGTCAGGCTCTGGGCATGAAATGAGCAACTACCGCCCAATAAGCCATACTTCTATCCTCTCCAAAAAGATGGAACGTCACATAAAGTCCAAAACTGTGGACTTCATCATGTCGCGAAATCTTATCAACACCTCACAACACGGCTTCCTAAGCACGCGATCCTGCATAACATGTCAGATAGACTTTCTCAGTCTTCTGACTACTTCGTTCGATGACGGTTCATCAGCGATAGTCATCTACCTAGATTTGCTCAAAGCATTTGATCCTGTCCCTCATAACCACCTCTTATCCAAACTAACTGCATATGGCATAGACAACCCTCTGCTTTCATGGTTTGATTCTTACCTAACTAATAGAACCCAGGTTGTTCAGATCGAGCACGAAACAAGCACGCCAAAGCCTGTCACCAGTGGTGTGATACAAGGTAGTGTTCTGGGACCCTTTTTATTCCTAGTTTACGTAAATGATATTTTTGATGTCTTCGCCTCCGGCAAACCTTTCCTGTTTGCCGATGACATCACAATTGCT